CTATGAATTACTTGCCTTTCCTTTAGTCCATCGGATCAGAAATAGAACGGATAGCTCCTGTATAACTTTGAGTAAGTATCCGAAACAAATCAAAAACCGCAGTAAAATAATGTTATTATGTTTACGAATTCGGTTTTATATAATACTGCAATAATTTTATTTATGTTACTCTAAAACACAAATAATTTTGGGACTTCAGTTGTTGTTGTTGTTTGTTATTAAGTACAAAGCTACACAAAGGGCTATCTATGCTCTGCTAACCACGGATATCGAAACCTGGTTTCTAGCGGTATAAACCTGCAGACATACCGCTGTGCCACTGAGACTTCAGGAATATAGAAAGAACAGTTAAGAATTTTTTCCTTACTTAATTTGGTTATCTAATGCAAAAATAAATAATATAATTTATTATTTCATTAAAGTTCCCGTGTCACGTCAACACGCTTTTTTCAATGATCTAAGTTGAATTTTTTTTTTATATTTTGGATGACCGGATGTCTTCACTTAATTTTATGAGTTATTGAAACTACATTTAAATGGTTGGTAGTGCTTTTACTTATTCATGAAATAGAAATATGCCATTAGCTTATTTCCCAAGGTATATCATTGTTTAACCAATCAGATCATTCTTATAAAATAAATCAGCCTATGAGAAAACGCACGAGGAGATACAGCTGCTTCCTTTCGACATAAAGTAGAAAAAAATATTGACACGCCTTACTTTGCGTGTCTAACATTTCTTTGTCATCTCATATAACGATAATATATCATCCTTCAGGCTTACTTGATGTTTATTCTGACAGGTCACGACAAAGAACGATTGTGATCGAATATGAGACTGTTGCCAGTTTCCTCCAACTAATAACTAGTTTTTCTGTTATCTGAAGACACACTCGTGATGTGCATTAACAGAAAGATTAAGCTCAGGTAAATTTCAATGTTTCATGACAAACTTTGGGGCTCTCCCTGCACACAAACCCCAAGTTATCTATATTTTCAATCACTGTTTTTTTATATGTGATTCACAGTCTGCTTGGCAAGAAAATTGAGAAAGCTTAAAAATATAATTTGGTGAATTGTTTTCGAGCTAGGACATAAAAAAGAAATTGAACACTCATAAAAGAAAATAGTAAGACGATGTCAAATCAAACGAAAGAGTTTTGTTAATCTTGCGCTACAAGAAATATAATTAAGAAAAAATATATATAATCAGGTTTATTAATTTACATATCTTCATACGTATATAAGATTATTGTTCAGTGTTAATTCTAGTGAATAAGTGTTAAAAATTCCAAAGAGTATTATAGATAACATTGACAACGTCGGATAAAAAGATATATGTAGTCTTGTATAGTTTTCTGTTCAAGGTTATGATAAGCATAATAGTTTTTTTTAGAGCAAAGCCACATTGGGCTATCTGCTGAAATCGAACTTCAGATTTTAGTGTTATAAGCCCATAGACTTACCGCTGTCCCACCGGGGGACAATATAACCGTTAAATTAACCTGTTAATGGCAAATATAGCAGTTTATTCCAAACTATGTGAAAGGAAATTGTTGTAGGACGTACTCCACACACCTAAAGAATGAAAGTCTGAAACCATACTATGCATGGAATACAGTGTTGATAGTATTATCCCACCCTCATATTGAAAGAAAAACCACACAGTGCCTCAGCAGTAAGTCTAAGGGCTCAAACCGCTAACAACTGGGCTTCGATACTCGTGGTGGAAACAGCACAGATAGTCCATTGTGTAGCATCGTGCTTAATAACAAACAAACAATATATTAAAAAACATAAAAATACGTCTTAGATTAGTAACAAAGAAGTGAATTTTCATCTTATGTTCTTAATTTCGTTTTTTTTAGTTACGTCACTCAATATGACTATCATAGCCGAAAAATAAAAAGCATTTTTACTACGTATTCTGTAGCCTGAGTTATTGACCATATAAACTGAAACTCACAATATCTAACAGCTTATTTTGCGTTTTTGTTATTATTATATTTAAAGTTTACATTAGCATAAGCTATAATCTTTATATTCAATATTTAGTTTGTAGTTTCATGTTTTATTCACAACCAGAAGTGTAATTCTTATTAACATAGTTTTATTGAAAATTGATAAGTGTTAAAAAATTATAGGCTTCGTTAGAAATTCTACAGAAATAAAATTCCTTAAGCATTTTAGTTTGTTTATGAATAAATCATTGGAATCATAACATAATATAACATATGGTGAACCCTGTCATTTATAATTCACCTTAATAAAAGTAGAAATTTAAATCCACCCTATATTTTCAAGAAAACATTGATAACCCTCTTACACTTTTGTACTGCTGACGAGATTTTATTCCACAGTTCAGTCATCATGTTAGCTATAAAGCTATCTTAACAACTGGAGCCTAGCGTGTCTTTTCTAAATTATTTTCAGAATATAGCACAAAACAATCAAAGGCCTTTATCCTATCGATACACCGGATAATATGGTAACCTATCATACTTCTTTTTTCAGGATAAAATAAGTTAATTTAACCTTTCCCTATAAGATCTCTCTTCAATCCACAAAATTAACCCAGTAGCTCTCCTCTGGATATTTTCTTAGAAAAGAAAACGGAGACTGTACACAGTATTCCATAGGAGGCCTAACAAATGATTTGCATAGAGAGATAACTGCTTCCTTTGATTAATATGTCTATAAATACATCTTAAAATTCCATTGCCTTTCTTCTAGCAACAGACCACTTCTTCATTGGTTTGAGTGACTTTTCTACCACTATACCACGATCGTTTTCAGTCACGCTATTGAGTAGGTTCTCATTTTTATTAAACGAGCGATTCAAATTATGATAACCAAAATGTCTTACCTTGCACTTATCATAATTATAGGCCATTTGACAAATGTTGTTTTCACAAGAGTTTAATGCCATCAGCGAACATTACTAACTTATGAATTATGTCCTTATCAATATGATTATTGTAAATATGAAAAAGGAAAAGCAATGACCTCCAGGCACCACTAGTAACAAGGTTCAGCTTAACTGGCCGCCATTAATAATAACCTTTTCCTTACCCCATCCAACTAACCTACAATCAAATTAACTAGTTTTCCTTCAATCCCTACCGATATTATTTTCCATCGCCGAGAAAAAAAATGAAAAAAGATTAGTAAAGAAAGATTTCCTTTTGGCTTTTATTTATGGTATCACATTTCACCAAATGGTTTTGTAAAGTTTCTTTTATCATATAGGCTTTCTTGGCTTTTTCACAAACAAAAGTAACACTAACTGGCTAATAATTTTCGGGGTATTATTATCTCATTTCAAAATAGGAGTAGCATTATCAACTCTCCAATCCTCAGGCACTTGCCCATGAGTGAGGTAATGTATTAGAAAAGTATGTATTGTTTAAAATCCAAGGTAATACAATTAACTATGTTAATTATATTCACCAAATTCAAAATAACACAAGTTAGGAAGGCAGTAAACAATAAACTACGATAACTAGATCTAATTTGTTTAAACTTATTCAAAAGTACAGATAATATGCTATTATTAAGATATAAGATTGACTCCTCAGAATATTAATCGTCGGAGATCGTTAATTTATAGCATAGAATGGAAATATGTTCTTTAATTTATTCAAGTTTCTATATACACATGGAAAAAACTTTATAGTAATTTGTGCTAAGCTTTGCGATTGTAATAACTTTAGCAAAAGAAATAACATAAAAAATATTTTTTGTTTCGAGTTTAACGAAAGAAGCATTTTGTTGGTATTGTATCCTAAATTTATAAGCTTTTCAATATAAGGTTTATTTTTCTTTGCTCACCTTTCTACTTACCTAATCAAACTACTCTTTTAAGTTTATCTTAGTATATCATCATATTTCTGATAAAGTATTTCTACTGCCTTTTTCTAAATTTTAAAATAAGTTCCCACAAATTGCAAAGTGTCGTTCAACTTAAAACGATGAGATATAGGTCAGTAGTCCAGCTCACTTAACACTTTTTCTATCAGCCTGGATATGATGACTGGCCAAATCAAATTTTTCTTCGCCTTTTCTTTATAACGTGAGTGTTAATGGTCACCTTAGTTGTGTGGAAATTTTGAACATTACTGTCAGGTTTGTTGAATGTTAACTTTAAACGAACTGCAACTACTTTTGTGGCTAGATTCAAAACAGGCTCGATTAGATTTGTTTTCCTGTGAATTAAGTCTACATTATTTAAAAGTCCATGTGATGAAATCTGCCAAACGATTTACAATGTTTCATTTTCACAAAAGCAAGCAATTTAACTTTACAGTTACATACTTCAATGGCCCGGCATGACCAGGTGGTTAGGGCGCTCGACTCGCAATCTGAGGGTCGTGGGTTCGAATCCTCGTCCCACCAAACATGCTCGCCCTTTCAGCCGTGGGGGCGTTATAATTTGCGGTCAATCCCATTATTCGTTGGTAAAAGAGTTTGCTAAATTGGGGACGGCTAGCGCAGATAGCCCTCGTGTAGCTTTGCGCGAAATCTATAACAAGAGCAAGCACACTTCAAATCTCATTTAGTGTTTCAGTGCAATTACGTCATTACTTGCTTTTGATATCACTTTCAATAAAGAAAACATGATTGATAGATATATGAATCAAACTCGTTTTATTTTTACTAATATTCGATTTTTAAACATATAAGACAAAATATAATAAAATTGAATACCAGCCTTAAGATTCAATAAACAGGCTTAACTATATTTTGAACCAGTAATACAAAGAAAACTTAAATTTGTTTGTAGTAGAATATAAATTACTAAAGTATGTATACGTTTAAGAGTAAGTTACTTAAATAAAATTGTGGTTTGTAAACATTTTTCTATAATTAAACATGAATTTCCACTTTTCTTTCCAGGTAAAATAACAACATCGATATGAACACCCGAAGTATAGGTACAGTAGTTATTTCGAGCTATTAAATATTTTATTGTTCTTACTACGGTTAAATAAATATTACAGATTCAACTGATCCACTGGAATAGTACATACTACCACTGTGCTGATGAAGCAGCCAAGGGCGAGAATGGATTAGTTATTGTAACCATCTTTGTTCAGGTAATGTAAGACTTCTAGGTATTAAGCACTTGACTGTTGATATGTCTTATTACTTATACTAATAATAAGCAAATAGAAAAAATTACCTATACATGAAATATGTGATAATTTTACTGAGAGTTTTAATGTTTAGATTACACATCTTTCCACTAACTCATTAATAATGATAATAACAAATGATCGTGTCATAAGAAGTACCAGTACAGTAATAAATTGCCAATTTTACTGACTGTGACAGATGTTTAAAAAGCGAAAAAAAAAAGAGCAATCTTAGGTAATCACCAGAAAGATAAGACAGCACATTATCACGAAAAAGACTTGAATACGATTTTAATAACAAAAAGGAAAGTACGTTGGATAAATATTAACTAATTTTATATATTTTTGAGCATTGTTAATATACTTCATTTATACATGGAGTGTATTGTGTGCTTGGAAAATATGTGTATTTAATTTAGGTTATTTATTTTTATTTGAAAACCGTATTGGAATGCTTTTGTTATAGATTCTCAGTAAAATTATATCCTGAATAGTGTCTTTTAAAGTCATGGAACCGATCGAAGAAATTAATAAAGTAGAGGCAAAAGAGAAGAATGTAATATTCGAGTGTTTTGTTGTATATATTTATACATGATTATATGTACATTCACTCTATATTGTACTAAATCTGGTAACCGTTTTGTGTGGATCTAATGCTTATTCATTATTGTAACTTGGCGCAATTGAACATTTGCAGTACAATATGGTTTTGTTCGGTTGACTTACAGAAACTATAAGTAAAATAGTAAGATAGATTAGAAGACAATGTAAGATCAGATAACTGAAGAGGATATAAAAATCCTTACGGTTTTACTGTTGTAGGTTGGAAGAATGCACGAAGAACTAGAAACATTAATTGATAATTTTTGGGCAATACAGTATAAGGTAAGTTTTTAACTTGAGGTTACTATATTTTATTAATAAGGTTATAATATACTGCTAGATTTTACATGTTATTTACTAAGTCATCTTATCCAGCCTTTTAGCTGGAATTGACTTATTCCTGCTAAATCGATTACCTAACACACAACGTTTTTATATTCACACAAATTCAAAGGTTGCAAAATTAACTACAATGCCAGCTTCGAGTGAACGGGAATTAATCAAAGCAAACGCTGTGGGTGTTTACCTAATTTCCCCTCTCGGAAAGCCATTAAATTTAACTTATCTGTTTTATTTTTCATAACTCCAAATACAAAACCTTCTTTGCTTAGTCTGAAAAGTATTGAAACTTAGCTAAACCTACTGGCTCGTTATGTTAAGTGGTTCGTCATGATCCCTCGTGATATTGTATAGAACCTATAGATCTATTTACCGAATTCCATTTGATATTACAGAGACAAGGTGTTCAGAAATATTGTTTAAATAAACATTTTGGCAAGCTGTATAACTTTTAATATAATTTCAGGTCCTCATTACAGAAGTAAAGTATGGTAATTGCAGAAGTGACAAAAACTTTAGAGGTGTCAATGCAAAATTTCTAGATGTCTAGAATTGTCACGAAATAACTGAATATACTATATTGTGATTTTAAAACATTTTTCAATATATAATATGAATACGCTTTAACGGCTTTCAGAATATTTTTTCATAACTGCTTTTTTAACTTCGCCATACCCTTTCGTTATGTGCATATCTTTCTGAAATACTTGATTAAGTGGTTAATGAACATAACAGAGATAAACAGTGATACGAAACTAGACGTGTTTTTATCAAGTACAGGTTTAAATCTCCCATTTCCTAGAAATAGAATAATTTTGTATGCTAAAAGCACATTGGTTTTTCTTTCTGTTTGGTTGCATGCTTCAGGTTACTGATAGCAACAACGACTGCTGAAAGCGGAACTTCGACCTCTTATCTATGTCTGCCCAATGTACATGAATCAGTTTTTCCCCTAACATGAGGATCATCTTACATTTTGTTGTGCGCCGTTTTGTTTTTTGTAACACTAGTTTGTTCACGACTTTCGCTTGCAATATTACCTGTGTCGCAGGTATTATGTCAGCGTGATATCAATGCCTGGACATGCTTTATGCTTAACAATGTAACTTGTGCATAATATGAACTCCTTGATGCATAGAAATAACCAAGTTTGTTTTGTTTATGTACGAAGTTTTTGTCGTGTGAAAAAAAACGTTTTTTTCATAATAATGTATTACTAAGGTAAGAGTAGTTAATATTGTACTTTGTTAAATAAGTTAAAAATAACTATAATTATTTAGTATTTTTATTTTAACATTAGCTCTGTATAACATCATTAGCTTTAACGAAACCAAGCAAAAAATACGAGTTTTGATTTAAATATTTGTTTAAGTATTTGTAATGTTTGATAAGTTACAGAACAACTTTTAAAACTTATGATGCTTTGTTTGAGAGTGAAATATTTATCTGATTTTATAGATATAAAAAAGAAAACATTTAGAAGATAACATGAAATTATACATCCGCAATTTGAAGATTTCTGTTGTTCTGACGTTCAACATATGGAATTTCAGAAAGTTAACATGACTGTGACTCTTTCATGTTTTTATATACAAATATTTATCAAGTTAATTCACACAGTTTGAGATAAGTTCAAGACCTTTTTACATAACATATATTTAGTTTAACCTACATCAGGGTGTTTTTTTATCTTCAGTTTAACCTACGTCAGGGTGTTTTTTATCTTTAGTTTAACCTACATCAGGATGTTTTTTTAAGTAACCGCGTATGTAAGGCTTACGTTAACTAACAAGCTGAAAAAAAAGTGAAAGAAATCTTATAATCACATGTATGTGTGTATGTATATCAAAGTTGTCCGTCTGTTTGTCTTGTATCATAAGTTGTGAGTATCTGGCTGAACTAAACCAGTTTCGATTATATTTAGTGAAGAAACTGAGATTGAGTTTAAATGTATCGGACGAACGGTTCAAGTATGGCAGAGAGTATCAATTTTATCACCGAATGAAGTCTTAGTTGAGCTCAGAATAGTGGAAGAGGGCAGTCCACGATCTTATTTATAGCAATACTTTATAAGCCAGTCATTGCAGGAAACCTTTGCTATAGGATATATGTTATAGAAAAAAAAACTCAGATAAAATCCCTTAATTGTATGAAAAGTGTATTAATAATATATATTTTATATAAAGGTGTGGTTCACTATTTTACACACTTCCCTCTCTTGTTGTCCAGTAAAGGTATGTTTGTTTTATAATTACTAAGTATAGTATAGCTACTAAATGCAACTGACTATAAGAACATATACTGTTAAACCTGTACAAAAACTATAAATGTTCATCAGGTAACGAGTAAATTTTTTGTAAATTGGGAAAACTATTATCTAAACAGCTTAGTCTGCTTTTCTTTCCTTGTGTCTTAATGATAATATCCAGTAGTTGTAATAAAAGTAATTTCGATCTTTGGTAAATCCAAACTTTTCTTTAAATGAGTTCGAAAAATATTTTCTGTGAAAATAATATTTATTATTCATTGTTTTATTCGTTTATATGAAATATCAAATGCAATGTAAAAAAGCTGTTTGTCTAAATTTAAAGAAATATATTCCAAATTTATATTAAGCTTTTTAAAGTTCTATACTGGACACGATTTATGGACACACAATTTTTAGCCTGCTTGCAAATGAAACAAATAATCTTAATGCAATTACTTCTTCGTAGGCTGGTGTTTCGATACTTCTAACTATCGGTAAGGCAGTAATACGTTATAATGTGACGGTCAATCCCACTATTCGTTGGTAAAAGAGTAGCCCAAGAGTTGGCGGTGGGTGGTGATGACTAACTGCCTTCCTTCTAGTCTTACACTGCTAAATTAGGGACGGCTAGCGCAGATAGCCCTCGTGTAGCTTTGCGCGAAATTCCAAAAACAAACAAACAAACAATCGATACTTCTAACTATCGGTAAGGCAGTAATACGCTATAATGTGTACTGAAACGTAAAACTTAAACCAATGGTAAAGGAAAATAAGGATATGTTAGACAAACGAGAAATAAAGATCTGTATGACATATTTCATCTGCAGGTTAATTTTTCAAGTTGTCTTTTGTGGAGAGAATATTATTATCTCGTAAGAGTAACTCTATCGCTAGATAAGAAAAAAGGTAAAATTGTGTTGTATGCAGAAATTACAAAAGATACAATTTTGGACAAAAATAGCTACCATGATAAATGGCACCTAAACAATGTTGGGGGACAACCCTGTCTCTGCAAGTTGCAAACCAGTATAACAGATAACTAAACAATAAAGGGGCGAGACTGTTGCTAAGGCCCACAACGTTCCGAATCCAACAGATAACTAAACAATAAAGGGGCGAGACTGTTGCTAAGGCCCACAACGTTCCGAATCCAACTACACATTCATCGTCCGCAGCCATTTGTGGCCTCGGTCGTTATTTTCTTAATATCAACTTTATGTCCATTTTTAATAAGTCCAAATACTGATGCAATTGTAGTACCAAATTACAACATATAATATAATACAACATATCCTTAGAATTACCTAACCGCTATCCATTTTTACAATAAGAATACACAAACATATTGTGAAGTGTAAGAACTATATATCCATCCAATATAATTTAATAGCTAGCAATATAATTCTACCACCGAAAAGTATACTTACATGCATACAAACATATATATTTTAATTATAATTTAATGGCTAGCATATATTTCTACCACCCAAAAGTATACTTACATGCATACAAACATATATATTTTAATTATAATTTAATGGCTAGCAATATAATTCTACCACCCAAAAGTATACTTACATGCATACAAACATATATATTTCAATTATAATCTAATGGCTAGCAATATAATTCTACCACCCAAAAGTATGCTTACATGCATACAAACATATATATTTTAATTATAATTTAATGGCTAGCAATATAATTCTACCACCCAAAAGTATACTTACATGCATACAAACATATATATTTTAATTATAATTTAATGGCTAGCAATATATTCTACCACCCATAAGTATACTTACGTACATACAAACATATATATTTTAATTAACAAAAAAAAGGTATTAACAATCACAAAAAACTGCATAAGTCACCATAAACAATAAGAATAAGTTAGGAGAACAAGATGTGGGTGCTGAAGCCCACAACGTCCCACATCTATAGACAATTGTGGGAAGGCGACTGCTCTCCAAAGAAATGTAAAATGACAGAAAAGCAAAAATAAGGTTCTACCACGGGGGGTAGGGCAAGGTAACCTTACCTTTTGACATTGGTATTTCAGCCCCCATTATAGTACCAAAGGCCAAAATTAATAAGTAGTACGGTAGACAGATTATACTACTATAAAAGTATAAAAACTCAGCCAAATTATCTAAACTAATATAACTCCCAACCTAAACGCATTGGTCTAAACTATTTATCTACCAAACTGCTTGTGAGTTCTTGGCTTTGTCGGTTACAGGTCTCTAATAACACATGAGTCACACAAAAATGTTAAACAAAACAATCGTGTACACTAAAATTAATCTCATTACCGCGTTTCTTCTGCATTCTACATATAAAATTAGTGCTTTCACCGCTCTCTCTCTCTCCTACATGTTTTTATGGTCAACTCTTTATGCTGAGTGTGTTAACGGTTATAACATAAATGCGCTCAATATAGTGCGATATATGGACACCATGCACCGGTAGTGAATGGTATAAAAACAACTCGGTAACTTAAGGGTTAATCCTAGTAGTGTAAAGGTGCTAGCTAAGACTATAAATATTAATTTCAACTACGTAGAAATAATATAGTGTATGTGACTCTTAAGCCGGCTTTCAAGATAACTGCGTATGAAGTGTTTTAACGAAAGTCGTTGTACTGTAACATTACAAAACACAAAATTAGAAATTAGCTAAAGTAGAATATAACCCTAGCCAATCGAAGTACGAAAACATTGGATTTCACTCCCCCCCCTAGATTTCAAGGTGCTGAAGGCACCCAAAATGTTGCTTATGACTTAATTTCTACTACTTAAATACAATCGATGTCAAAAACATTTCCTAAAGTTAAATGTAAGAGTGAAAAGAAGTAAGTAAACTTTTTGGCATTATCTTAGTTGTATTTGTCTGTCTTTTTATTTACCAATAAGTGTATTTAGTTGTATGTCTTGCTGCCAAGGTATGTAAAGAATGAAATTATATTTCATCTTAAACAAACGATTTTACTTTTCTCTGCAGGGCCAAAGCAAAGTTATTGGTACAACATTCAACCCTTCTTGCCTTTTACCACGTGAGTTGAATGATTTTGTCTATTGTATAGAATACAGCAATTATTAGTATGCAAAATACAATTATTATATACAATATTAAAAACGATTATGTCTAATCTAATTAATACTACTACTACCAGAGTGACGTATCACCCAAGAGAACAGACATATTATAATTGTTGTTGTTTGTTATTAAGCACAAAGCTACACAAAGGGCTATGTGTGTTCTGCCCACCACGGGTATCGAAACCAGGTTTCTAGCGTTGTAAGTCCGCAAACATACCACTGTGCCACTGGGGGGGGGGGGCTATTATAATTGAAATCACCAGTATCATGGTGATTTCTCTATACTGACTAATGGTTGCCAGAAAACATGCTCCTCAAACAAGCACTTAAAAATCTGAATGCAACAGACACACCTTCAAAATTGTCTTTAAAAAATGTTCGATTTTTAAGGATATTTTCGAAAAATTCACAGGAATCATTAATTGCATTTGATTTAAATTATTTATCTGGGAGATGTTGTATTGAATATTAAGCCAAGTGAAATTTAACAGAATAAGAAAGCATGATGTTAATTTGTGCATTCGACTTAAACCCAGAGGAAAGCATTTATCAAGTTGCGTAGTTGTGATAATTTCTGTAATAAAGTTCCACATTAATCCACGAAGCTTTTCTTAATGCTATTACAAATAAATCTTAAGCACTTTCAACGTAATATTACAAGTATGATTTAAAAAACAATGTTGTAGGTTTAGATTTTTAGAATTTCACGCAAAGCTACACGAGGGCTATCTGCGCTAGCCGTCCCTATTTCAGCAATGTAAGACTAGAGGGAAGGCAGCTAGTCATCACCACCCACCGCCAACTCTTGGGCTACTCTTTTACCGACGAATAGTGGGATTGATCGTAACATTTTAACGTCCCCACGGCTGAAAGGGCGAGCATGTTTGGTGGGACGGGGATTCGAACCCGCGACTCTCAGATTGCGAGTTGAGCACCCTAACCACTTGGCCATGCCGGGCAATTCATAAATAAACATACTTGGAACCCTCGATTTGGGATTGATGACAGGTTTTGATCGGAGGTATAAAACATATGAGAAGAAGATCAAATCTAATTATAAGCTTTTACGTAAGATATACAATCTTAACTTTCACCTTCAGTGGGGTGCCTTTAGATCTCATATGTGCAACGTAGTGAGCAACTAATTTTCAAATATCGTTCTATATAATAAAAGTAACAACACCAAAACTGTTTCACTGTAGGCTTAAAATAAACTGGAATATAATCAAAACAATGAATATGTTTTTTACTGATGAGTGACCTTTTATGGTGAACAGTCAGAAAAACGACGTTTCAGTTCTTCAGGTCAATTACACATCTTTATCAACTAATTGGTAATTGCGCTCTTTGTCTCTCAAACCGATATTATGTTAAATTACGAAAATGTTTCGTTTACAATGCTAGTTCGTTCTCTTCCTATGTAATGCTAAAATTATGTCATAATGTTCTGTCATATTTCATGTTTTACTTGGTACATTTTATTGATATGAATAAACTATACATTTATATATGTTCGAAAGTAATGTCTCCCAGTAGCATAGCGGTATGTATGTGGACTTACAACGCTAGAAACCGGGTTTCAATACCCGTCGTGGGCAGAGCACAGATCGCCCTTTGTGTAGCTTTGTGCTTAACTACAAACGAACGAATGGAAAAAAATAGTTTTAGATTTTTATATACCATAAAGCTGTATATATGCATACATATATATATACGTTACAAAAGTTCCAACTTTTTCTTAGGTAGTTCATCATTGTTATTATATGTATGTGTGTTCTATATATGTCTATGAAAAAACACAAAAATGCGAAGGTGGTAAAATAAAGAACTTAGTTTTTTTGGCGATAATTTTCCTTAAAAACCTTTAGAATTATTTTTTACTTTCTTGACTACGTTTGGAGCAAATGCTTTTTTTTATGCTAGAAACAAGCATGCCGTTAAATGACAAGAACATATAAAACGTGATCCTGTTTGTAGCGTACTGCCATATGCAAGACAATTATTGACGAAACACGTATGTGTATATATATATATATTTTAAAAGCATTCTGAGACTAAATATTATTTTTTTACTCTTTTAAAGTCTGTAAATGATCACATATATATACACAAATATTATATATGTTACGAATGTATAATAGATTCCATTAGATTATATTTTGTTCGTGAATTATTATTATATAATAAACCACTCAAAGGGACAGGTTGCTAATAATGATATAAATTATAGAAATTATCATATGAAAGTATTTTCATTACAAAATAAGTATTTAAGCTTCATTATCTACCAGTAAGTGAACGTTCTTAGCATTTACAATACGTAAAGGTAATATAAAAATGTTAGTTATTAACAAAAAGAACAATACTTGTATGCAAAATACATGAAAATATATTTGATTTTAATTTTCCAGTTTTGGATGACACATTTTTAATGCAAGCTTCGAATAATCTGTATGTTTCAAGAAACAAATATTGGTAATTAATATATATTAATATTTAAATATTTTATGAACTGTTTTCTAAAAAAGAGAAAAAGTAATGTTCCGCTTTGGTAACTTGCTTTTAACTCTGTTATTCAGTTTCGAATGTCATTGTTTTAAATCAAGCTGCTTGAAATATCTAGTAAAAAAAAAGAATAACTAATAAAGTGAATTTTAGTTGGTAGCTAAATGAACGTTTTGTAGCTGTCCGTATGCGGCATACCTTTACGCCTGTGTATTAACGAAAAGTAGGCAGTCTTTGGTTTGGAGGCTGGTCTCAGACATTAGAAAACACCCTCTAGGTCTTGATAACATTCGGTCTGACTCGTTCTGCTAGTGTTAACTATTGCCGCGAGCCAATCATCGGTGTGGATTCGGCGCCTAACTGATACATATCTTTTCTAATGAGCTGGTTTCTAGGCAACCAGAGGGGCTAAGGCTGCCAGGAAATCGGTCAGGTGTAGCACTCTCTACGTGGCTGATGGTTGTTTTTGATAGGTTTGCATGGTGGCGCCACACAGGATGTTTCTAGGCCTAATTTAGAGAACTGTTTCTCCTGTGTTTTCTGTTCCTATTAGAGTAAATGCTTGGGGGTAGACGCGATCTTTTGTGGCTATACAGATTGATTAAGGAAAGGCAGAAAACATACAGTTAACGACAAAAATAGCGTATTTTCATTGTGACTTTTCAAAACTAAATGCTACCTCTGCAGACAATTTGATCAACGAACAAAACTACATGATTCACGACATGTCTAAAGTCAGGGAACAGAGACAGGAATTCACCTTCATGCTAACTATAATTACGATAAAAATGACTGATTGCTCATAAAATCTACACCATTACACTACAATAATACTCTGAGATTGTCTTAAAACCTGAAAAAAGAATCCAGATTCATAATTCTGATTAGACGTAGCGATTACGTAAAAACATCTTTAAAGAAGGTTGTTAAATCTTATCAAATGACTAAATTATCTTTATTTAATTATCATTACACACAGAGTATTTTGTGTTTGTTTGATTTCGGAGTTACATTTCTATAGACTTATGTAAAACTTAAAATAAAATCTAGAATAATCCTCATTTAACCAATGCTTAGTTAGATTTTTAAAAATACCCGTTGATTGTTTGTATAATTATAAATACACATTTGGTTGAAAGAACCACAATGCCATCCCTTATGATTGGTTATATCATATTTTAGTACCGAGCATCGTCATTCACAAACTGTTGTATTCTGAATTTCTCCATTATTTTATCAAGAAAACATCAATCATTTGCTATATTTACGAAATATCTCAAAAATAAATTATACATAAGAATTAAGTAAGTCAGAAGAGAGCTATGTGTATATATGATTGCAAATATTTTGGGTATCTCCCACAACCTACAAATTCATAGATACCGCACAAGGTGATGGAATTAAAGTAGTCAAATCAGCTTAACTAACTAGGTTCCTACTTAACAAATTTAGATTGATTTTTGTGCTATTTTTTAACTCACGATACCCCAAGAGAAGCAAAGATACATCATTTTTTAGTGATTTTACCGTATACCAATAAACAACACTAAGATAAAAGATACTAATTCCGCGTGAACTTTGTTTTTATTTTTTGTTTGTTTGTTAAAGATGGTACTCAGTGAAATCAATCTAATATTATTTTCATTTTGAGCAAGGTTTATCACAGCTGAGAATTTTGAGCACATTCACAGAAATGTAACTGATATATGACTATCTGAATAAAGCCAGGTCTTGGTTTATGTAAAAAAGAAAATAAAGAAAGCCTAATTAAATTCCTTGCGAATCTTATCAACCTTGAGAAACCAGAGCGAAAAATTCATTCTTTTTAATATCATGCTAAATATACTTTATTACTCTGATTTCAAATCACAAACGGGCGGACATTTAACTTAGATAGTAAAACAAATTTGTAAGGGTACAACATTTATTGCAATACTCATTTTAAAATGAAGGTTTTGGATAATTATTATACTATTTTAAGAACCGTTGGATTTATGAAAGTTTCTGAGTAATAGAAGGCAGAATTTTATTAAAAATAATATAATTAAAACAATTATTTGATACTCACCTTACCTTTAGAAATAGAGAGCAAAAACAAAATTAAAACGCTGCCATTTTACTCACACATATACATCCGGATATTTGTATGATTATTTGACTAAAGGAACATTTAAGAGTGAAAATTATACTTTAAATTTACACCTTTGATATACTTTCAAATACTGAATACTTCTTAGTGTAATGTCACCTAGAACACAATTTTTGCTGTCGACTTCTTAGTGTAATGTCACCTAGAACACAATTTTTGCTGTCGACTTCTTAGTGTGATGTCACCTAGAACACAATTTTTGCTGTCGACTTCTTAGTGTGATGTCACCTAGAACACAATTTTTGCTGTCGACTTTTTAGTGTGATGTCACCTAGAACACAGGTTGTACTGTTGAATTCT